AGCGGCTGGTGCTTATCACCGACCAGGCGCTGCTCGTCTGCAAGTACGACTTCATCAGCCTGCAGTGCCAGCAGGTGGTCAGGGTGGCCTTGAGCGCGGTGGACACCATCTCCTACGGGGAATTCCAGTTCCCCCCGAAATCGCTCAACAAGTAAGTCTGTTCAGCAGAGAGCCCCCCCCCCGGGCGCCTCCTAGTCAGCCAGCCCTTCTGAAACCAGCCCCCAGCAGATGTCTGTGTTTGTCATTACTTGGAAACATAAGAGCCTCAGCTATAAAATCGGTGGAGCTCCTTAGAATAGAAGCAGGTGACTTCTGCCTAGCAGGTGCATTAAAAGGAATTCTGGCACAAAAGACAGCTATTAGGCTTGTAGTGAGATGATTCGAGGTGTTAAAGTAGACCTGATGCGGATATTCTTCAGATAAGAACCAAACTCAGCATTTTATCTCTGGCCAGGAAAGGATTACATTCTTTTATAAATGGAAGTGGTAGCACATCACTTTAACTTGCAGACGTTCCTGAAGGTTAAATTAAACATTTAATGGACAACGTTCAAGAGCTGACCTTCGTATGTTAGGGGAGTTTTCTGAAATGGAAACCTAGACATTAGTATACTCCATTGAGTTAAACAGTAAATTTTAGACTTGTGGTGTAGAGATTTGGATAGGGAATTCAGGAAACTAAGATGAGCTAAAATTTTTAATTAACAATAAGACACTCAGAAAAAAAGACTTTAAGTTACAAAAATATCACTCATCTAGTCATCCCGCTACCTGTTAAGCTTTGCTGATTGTGCAGAGACTGGCTGTAGTGTAGCTAGGACAGCGTGCTCAGCTGTCCTGTTTGCAAGTGCTGAAAGCTGTCAATGCTGGCCACACCATTCCCGTCCAAGCCCGTGGATCCTTCTCTGTCCTGAAATGTCATCAGTCTCGTGTTTAGCAGTGGAGCCGAGTGGATGTGGGTGCACAGTGGCCGTCTGTGAAGTCTGGTCCCTTCCTTCTAACTTGGCAGGCGAGAAGGTTTTGGGATCCGCATTCAGTGGGACAAGCAGAGCCGCCCGTCCTTCATAAACAGGTGGAACCCCTGGTCCACCAACGTGCCCTACACCACATTCACAGAGCACCCGATGGCCGGCGTGGATGAGAAGACAGCCTCTCTGTGCCAAGTAAGAGGACAGATGGCAGGAGCAGGGCCGCCCAGCGGTGACTGGAATGTCCTCAGCCTGCACTGCCCAGGGTGGTAGCCACATGTGGCTGTGGAACACTCACCCTGTGGCTACACTGAGAAAAGAAACTTAAAATTTTTACAAATGTTAGTTACCTTACGTGTAAGCAGCCCTGTGTGGTTAGTGGCTGCTGGCCAGTGTGGCTCTATGATGTGGCCCTTTGTGGCTGTGGCTGTCTTGGGGAAGGTCCCAGAAGGGCTTCAGGGCATGGCAGGTGTCCCGGCCCTGCTCCAGCTGGGCAATCTAGGTGCTGAGCAGGAGAGGAGCCCGGGGGTGGGGGCGAGTAGTCCCCCCACGTGCCAGCTGTGCGCCTTGGCCTCCTTGCTGCCTGGTGGGCGGTGGGAGGATCAGGTGGTTCGCGGTGGCGAAACCACGGAGACTGGCAGAGCAAGGTCCGTGAGTGCTGCCGTCCGCCGGCCGTCACGGGACCATGGGAAGAGCCAAGGTTTCTAGAGAGCTGCCTGAGGGCAGGGCTGCAGGGCCGGGCAGGTGCTCAGCTGGGTGGGGACAGCAGGGCTGACATAGAGGCGTGGGGTCCGCTCCTGTGGATCCCCTGACCAGACTCCACCTTTTCTCTCTCAGTTGGAGAGCTTTAAAGCGCTGTTAATCCAAGCTGTCAAAAAGGCCCAGAAGGAGAGTCCTCTGCCAGGACAGGCGGGCGGCGTGCTGGTCCTGGAACGCCCCCTGCTCATCGAGACCTACGTGGGGCTGATGTCCTTTGTCAACAACGAGGCCAAGCTGGGCTACTCCATGGCCCGCGGCAAGGTCGGCTTCTAGGTGCCCTGCTCGGGCCGTCCTGGGGAGCCGGGCAGGCAGGACCCGGGGCCTCGGGGCAGCTCCCCTGCTGCTGGCAGGCTCGGGGCCCTGACCTAGGGGTCTGGGTGTGATTGGCGGAGTCAAATGAACTGTATACTTCAGCCGGATATTGGATGTCTGCGAACGGGAGCTACAGGCAAAACAAGGTGAATCGGGCTGTCCCCGTCCTGGCCAGCGTCAATTTCCTAGAACCTCACTTTTCCTGTTTCTCCTGGTGTCTCCATCCAGCTTCCTGCCGTCCTCCCACCCCAGCCCCTGAGCATGTTAGTGATAAACATTGGTGATCCCACTAGGACCCCCCCGTCGGCACCTCAGCTGCGTAGACGACCACACCCAGGGAGGTACCGAGTACCCCAGTGCCTGTAGTTGCAAATGTTTACAGTTGGTGTCAAATTTTGTATCTTGAGATTTAATCCATCTTCTTCAAGCGAATACGAAAGAAGCCAGCAGACGTGAGCTCAGCAAGAGAGTCTGCCTGTCAGCTCCTGAACAGGCAGTTGCTTTTGTGTAAACAAGTGTTTGACCTAAAGTCACACTTTTTCTAAAGTTAATCTACATTGTGTTAATAATACCCACGGTATCTTCCCCAGGCCCAAAAAGGTTTGCAGAAAATCATTTTAAAACCAGTCATTAGTTTGAAAGTCAGATGGATAAGTTCTTTTGCACTCAATTTTGACAACTTTTAAGTTTGTATCGTCATATTCGTATTTAAAAAGGGAATTGCTTAGTTTGCTTTTAAAGGATGCACTTTTAAAAAGGAACCGTATTAGGGCCTCATGCAGCAGCTGACCCGTCCTGGTTCCCGCCACTCCCCGCAGACCCGAGCTTGTGGGCAGTCGCAGCTCGCCGCCCCCACCCCGTCCGCGGCCCAGCCCTGTGCCTGGGAGCTTTTGCTGATTTTAGTGCTGGCTCACGGGTCCCTGCTCCTGATTTATGACCCTGGCGTAGCTGTAGTCAGCACGACGTGACCTGGACGCAGGGGCCTGTCAAAAAGCAGCCTCCACACCCAGCCTGGGTCCTGAGCCTTGCTTTTGGTCTTGTGGTAAAGATACTTAGAATTGAGTGGGTGTCGTTCCTTTCTTAAAGTTATTACAGCAGGTGCAGCATCTCAGAGTGGGAGCTGTCCTGCTCTAGTTTTGAACCCTGTCAACTTGCAGGGGTGCGTGTGCGTGCGTGTGCCTGCACAATGAGGGTTCTGCACTTGCCTGGTGCAGCTCCCTTCACAGACACCAGAGGGCGGTACAAAGCAGTCCTGAGGGGGAGGGACAAATCCTCATTCGCCTACAAGTGTGGCTCGGCCCTCGGCCCTGGCTGCTTGCGGGCAGCACCTGCAGTCTTTCTGGGTGGACACTCCCTGCAGAGCTGACTGAGCAGGCCGGGGACTGTCCCTGACCGGGATGCCCCGGCACCTGCACCCCCTACCCTTGGTGGCACACCTCCCTGCCCGCCCCCGACCCCAGAACAGGCCCCACAGGACGCCCAGGCCATCCTCCCAAAACGTGCAGTGACAGGACGGAGGCTCCGAGCTGAACAGCATCCCGTGGGGTGACAGCTGCCTGGGGCTTGCTCACCTCTCCTGACATACACTCAAAACTGACCTAGAAAACTTTCCTGTGACCTAAAGCTTTCAGGAAAAGCATTAGCCGTTTTATGAAATAGCAAATACGTATTTAAATAATACCATACATATGTACAAAAATGCCTTGCTATAAACAATAAGAGCAAATCACTTCCTCTGGACCTGAGGAGCCATGAGAAACCACGAGAAGCCACGGTCCTTTCTCATGGTTCCCACCGCCACCCACACGGGCCTGTCCACGCAGGGCCCTACGTGTGGTCGCCCCGCTGCCCGAAGGCGGTGCTGACCCCCTCCTCTGTCTCCAGGAAGCACAGGCAGAAATGGTCCTTACCGAGGAGGGCCAGAGAGTCCCCGCTTAAGTGCCAGCACAGGGAGAGCACCTGGAAGTCACCTGAAGAAAGACAGGTAGCCAGAGGTTAGAGCAAGAGGGGCCAGGGCGTCAGGCCAGTGGGAGCCCCAAGTTCCACAGATGGGCTCCTCCCAGCCTGCAGAGCTCAGCGCAGCCAGCCCGTTTCAAGTGCACACTGGCCACCCTGAGGTTTACGGAAGGTGTCCCCCTGCCTCCACCTCCAGCTGGAGGCTGGGTCTGCGGGCACATGCCATCTGCCAGGGGTCCACCTGCGCTCACCTTCCCCGGGCACCTGCACTGACACGCAGCCCGCCGGCGACCACAGGTACACCTTGCTGCCCCCTGTGCAGATGGCCAGCCGGGGCTGCCGTGGGTCCCACTGGAAGGCGCGCACGGCAGACAGCTGCTCCAGCACCGCAAACAGCCGCAGCTTCTGCACATCCCAGACCCAGACGGCATTCGGGAGGTTGTCTGAGGAGGGAGACCGCACAGGCCGCGGTTCAGCCCCGTCGCGGCCCCTCACCATCCCCTCCTGAGGATGGACACTGAGCAGACAAGTGACATCTCCACCCCCACCCAGGGTCTCAGCAGGCGGGGGTCATGCCCCTCGGCCTCTCAGTGCACCCAGAGCCCTGCTCTTGACCGCAGAAGGGAGAGACAAGGGCCGGGAGGCGGAGCAGCCGAGCTGCTGCTCTGACAGGACCAGCTGACCCAGGAAGCTTCCGCCGCTGGGACATCCACCACGTCAGCAGCAGGACGTGTGCGGGAGGCCCAAGGCCTGATTGTCCTTCCAAGCTGGCTGTACCCTTGGCCCCCGAGCAGCAGGCAGAGGACACAGCACTCATGTGGGGCGCACCACTGACCGTTCCTCGTCGCCAGGAAGTAGTTGTCGGGACTGAAGGCCAGCGCCCCGACGCCAATCCGGGGGTTGGCTCTGTCGGCAGCAGGCTTCAGCGTCTGCAGGGACACGGGCACCTCGGCGATCTCATCTAGGCGTCAAAGGAGAGCGTGCCCTGAGCCCCCTTGGTCTGCGGTCTGCCCGGCGGCGCGGGAGAGGAGCCGCGGGCCCTGACCGCCCGTGGGCGTGACCAAGACATGTGGCAGGAAGAGCTCGGGGCAGGACTTCAGGGAAAGCAGGGCTCTGTGGGAACCTGGCCGGGACAGATGAGGCCCGGGAGACAGAGCTGCATCAGGCGGGCAGGAGACACCCGGCGGCCGTTCCAGCAGCCCCTCTGACACCCTAATTACGCCCCTCTTACAGGCGAGGAAACTGAACCGTGAGCAATCTGCGGGGTCCCAGCACAGCTGTGCGGCTGCACCGAGCCCCAGCTCACCCGACAAAATGTCATCGTCGTTAAAACAAAGTCGCCCTCAGCGTCCCAGCTGTCCAGTTCCGGTTTCCAGAGCTTGTGTTCAGTCAACAAGACAGTGCTCGGGTGGCCTGCTGGCTCAGGGCTGAGGGGACGCTGACCAGGCATCACAGGGAAGGAAAAGCATTTAAAAAAACAAAGACTGTCTAAAGTCCACCTGGACGGAGAGGACTCCTGCGGGAACCGGGCGGTAAGGGGGCAGGGTGGCGCCCGCTGGGCTGCGCTTCTTACATTTGCTCTCTGGGGATGACAGGGGACCAGTCACGGCTCTGGGTGGCGGGAAGGCGAGGCGGCCCAGCCCCAGAGGGGGGCTCTTCTCCGCCTCCTTGTACACCACCTGCAACACAGACGTGGGCAGGACGTGTGGCCGCTCCTGGGGGGGGGCGGGATGCCGCCCCACTCACCACGCCCCGAGCATCCTCTGGTCCCTCCCGCAGGCCAGCCCGTGGTCCAGCACAAGTGTGAAGATGGCTGACAGGTGGGACAGGGAGTGACCGGAGCAGACAGGAAGGACAGGCGGGCAGGGTGTGGGGGGGCCACGGGGAACCCTGAGAAGCCTGGGGTCGGCCGCACCCCGACGGCCGCCTGTGAGTCCCTCCCCTGCACCTTCAGCTGGCCGTCCAGTCACCGCCTGAGTCCGGACCTCCACCGACTCACAGACTCCCCGCACCCGCAATGCCCATCTGACCCGGGACCATACTGCAGCCCTCGCCCGCCGCCTTCCTCCTCACGACAACCCCCGCCTCTTACTCAGGTCCCTCACCTGCGGGCAACTCACCAGGGGGTCTGTCCATGTCCCCGCTGTCCCCAGTGCCGGCGTGTCTGCCCTCATCCCTACTGTCCCCATAAGGCTGCGATTTCTGTCCTTGCCCCCACTTTCCCCCTGATGCTGGGGGGTCTGTCCTCATCCCCCTCATCCCCCTCGGCCAGGGTTTCTGTCTGTGTCTCTGTCTCCCAGCACCCAGGCCAGCGCCTGCTGAGTGAACAGACACACCTACCCACCTCAGGACCTCTGCTCCCCTGTTCCTGCTGCCTGAATAACTCCTCCCTAGATCCCACCTCACCTCCTCCTGGTGTTGGCCCCAGGACCCCTCGGCAGGCAGCCACCCTACCCACCCCGGAAAGATATCTGGCCCTCCCGGCCCAGCCCAGCCTCCACGGGCCGGAGGTCTGCCTGCTCTTTTCCAGCTGGCCCAGGGCACAGCCCGCGGCCCAGCAGATGCTCAGTGGTCACAGAGCAGGGAGCAGGAGCAGGTCCAGAATGAGCCCTGGGGGTGGGAGCGTGAGAGGGAGGGCAGGCGCCACATCGAACCCGCTGGGAGTGTGGCAGGAGAAACGAAGGCCACTGGTGCAGACCCACAGTGAAACGTGACAGGATCAGGTTTACGGAGATGTAAGTACCCGTATCACCATAAATAACGTAAAGCGAAAAAGCAGTTTTCTACTTCCTTCCCCAAGTACTGTACGAATAGAAACATGCCTTCCAGACTTACTATTTTGGGATTATTAATGGTTGCAGGATGCCCAAACTCTGTGATCATTTTCCAAGTCACGTGGTTGAGGATGCGCACCTGGGGAGGGAAACCGCGAGGGTCAGAGCTGCCCAGCAGCTGGCGACGGGCTTCACTTCGTGGGCCGTCTCCCACCTTCCCGTCGTAGCTCCCGACCGCCAGGAACTGACTGCTGGGGCTCCAGGCCAAGGACTTGATGCCCAGGGACCACTCGTAAGCGCAGTAGGTGGACAGGAGCCGGCCGTCCAAGGAGTAGAGCAGGACCTTGTACTGTGGGGACAGGGATGTCACGTGAGGCTCGGAGAGACAGGAACCCAGGGCAGGAACGTGCCTGAGGACACTGCCCTCCTCTGAGGTGGCATGGGAGCTCTCCAGCTCGATGTCTGAAGACGCACAGTTACGGCAACATGAGCACGGGGAGAGCGTGCAAATAAAAAGGCGGCTTCCCTACCTCCAGGCAGCTGTCCCAGGCTGCCAGCACGCAGCCGTTGGGGGCCCACTCGATGCCCGCCAGGTCCTGCGTGTCCGTGTCAAAGTGCTGCCCACGGCGGCGCAGGGAGAGACCCAAGAAATTGAAAAAAATTTTCTTAAACAGATACACATACGTTCACTTTATAGCTGATATGTTAACACATTTCATACTTAATTTCCTTCTCAAGCAGGACAAACATCTCTACAGCTCTGCCCTGCAGCTGTGAAATCCTGCCTGAGTGCCAGGGAGGTCCCCAGGCAGGGCGTCTGGCTGCCACGTGGCTCTGCCTCTGGCCCCCAGGCTGCACACGCTGCCCCTCTTCCTGCCCGGCTGAGCCTCACCTCCCAGGACAGCCCTGCCCCGCGCTGAGATGGCCACTCAGCTGGTGTGTCTGGATCCATGGCCTCCAGGGGGTGGGCACTGGGTCAGTGTAAACTCCAGGTCACTCCTCCTGGGAGGGCCACACGTACGCAAATACCGTTTAACTAACAAGAAGGGAGGTGGCTCAGATTTGGTGGCACACGAACTGGTCACAGCCCAAGCACGGGCCAGCTCGCTAAGTCCTAGAAACACTCACTGATGCATGTTCCGTGCAGCACACCTGCCTTTGGAGATGCGGGATCACGTTTCCCCATGCTGCACGGGTGACCCCCCCCGAACCTCAGGGAGCACACTGCTCCCCTCCCTCCCTCCCCTCCCCCGGGAGCCTGCTCGGGGCGGGGAGAGCGCCGCTCACCCGCAGAAGCTGCCAGTCGCTGCAGACGAAGATGCTCACGTAGTCCCGGCAGTCCCGCCTCTCCGCCAGCGCCAGGTAGCGGCCGTCCCTGGTGAAGGCCAGGCCTGCCGGGAGACGGAAAGGCCCACGGAGGAGGCCACAGCGGTCAGTTTTCAAGGGAGGATGGGGAAGCGCGAGCGGCGGTCTGAAGTGGGGACGCGGCGCCTGCAGCGGGCTCTGCAGCTCTGTCTCCAGCACCTGCCCCCCAGACTTCAGATGGGCAGGGGGTCACCCCCAGGCCGGTGAACCAGAGGGCTGAAAGTGCGTGCCCCGCGGAGCACGCGCTCCCGGGAAAGTAACTGCAGGAAACTTGGGGGTTCAAAGCCGGCTCGCCGCCACTCCCCCTCCTTTTACTTTTGAATTGAATTATTTCCAAGAAGTAAATTTAAGATGAGAATTTCTGGTTGAAATGTCAGGCTGTACTCTCCGGGTCCATTAGCGCACCGAGCCCAGCCGCAGCTCGCATCTCGCACCTCATGAGTCAAAAAAACACCTAAATGACACGCCGCCGTTCCACTGAGAGCTGTGTGTGTCCTCTGAGGGGCACTCACATCAAGCTATAAACGTGAGAAATAAATGTACAGCTGCATCTCATGCACCTTTTTTAGCGGGCGTACATCGGTTTGCAGTGCTGTGTTGTTTCCGGTGGATGGAACAGCACTCAGCTACATGTGCGCATGTGTGTGTGCACGCGTGGGTGTGCCCACGCGCGTGCCTCATCCTGTCTTTCCCATGACAGGCTATGCTGCAAGGAGCTGGATACAGCTCCCTGTGTTCTGCAGTAGGACCTGCTGTTTCAACTGCATTTCATTCAAATGTGAGTTTCAAACTGTCGATGGCAAGAGAAAAAATGGAAAGATCATTCAAATTACGTACTGCTTCCTTCTGTTCATTGAAAGACGATCATGTAATTTCATGACTCCACAGTGGGGCATCCAGCTAGCTCTCAGCCCAGTTAAATGTCGCGGGGGGTTGCTCCCAGCTGGCACAGAGGACACTGGCCAGTCCTCCTGCCCCGGGACGTCCCAATGGGACAGGACCCCGTCCCTCACAGAACACACAGAGTTAAGTCAGTGGAGGATCTGGTTCAGAATTCCATGTGTGGGCTAGGGTCCCGTGACGGGACACCAACTGGAAGGGGACTGAACACCCAGTTCGGTAACAGAGGTTCAGGATTTCGTGTAAACCCTTCTTCCTTGACTTCCTTAAAACAACCTCCTCCTTAGCTGCTGAGGTCACATAAAAGGGAGTCCTTGTCTTGTACAGACCCAGGTGGAAGCGTTTACAGAGTGAGGACCAGGAGGTTGGGAACATACTTTAAAATAATCGGGGGCGGGGTGGGTGTAGAGAAAAAAGACTGGCTATGAGCTGATATACAACTGAAGCTACCTTTTGCCTGTTTGGAATTTCCCACGATAAAAAGGTCCACCCCCCACCCCCCCCGCCGGCAACTGCATTTAAACAGCTTTAAGTTCAAACAGCGTGTTGTCTTGACACACCGTCTCTACTTGCTTATTTCTGAGCACCTTTGGCCAACTCACCCTGCTGACAAGCTTTGGGGTACTTGATGTAGGACACAGACTTCGTGCACAAGGACCAGACGGTTATCCGCAGCTGTCCGGAGAGGGGGAGGAGGAAAGAAACAGTGTATGTTCAGCATTTTTGGAAAGACTGTTGCAGCTCGTAAACCAGGCTGCCAGCACCCAGGGACGGGTCTACTTCGGAAGCAACAGTATCGCTGGTCCTGGGTCTCCGTCTGAAGAAATGCGTCAGACTCACACTTTACTATTGCTAAATTTAAGGCTCCCCACCCCACTTGGTTTTGTTTGCACTTTGTAACAATATATCTGAGTGACACAAAGTTAAACACAAGTGCTTTTAGTTCCAAAGTGCCATGGTCCCCCTTTATCCCCAGTTTTAGTCACTCATAGTCAACTGTGGTCTGAAAATATTAAATGGAAAATTCCAGAAATAATTCCTGAGTACAAAACCGCGGGCCGTTCTGAGCAGCAGGATGAAGGCGCGCCGCTGAGCGCCGTCCCGCCCGGATCCCCACCATCGACATCACCAAGGCCAAGGGACCAGGACCACCTGAGGCAGAGGACCCGTCCCCCTGACGTGCGGTCAGAAGCCAAAGGCCAGGCCAGTGCCCCTGTCCTGCCCTGTCATCCCACATCATCACAAGAAGCTGAGTGCGGACCAGTGAGATTTCTGAGCGAGGACTCAGTCACTTAACTTTTATTGTGGTGTACTGTTACGTCTTCTATTTCACTGTTAGTTACTGTTCATCTCTTACTGGGCCTAACTTATAAACTCAGCTTGACCACAGACCTGTCTGTAGGATTCGGTACACTCAGGGACCTCAGGCACCCCCTGCAGATGAGGGCCAGGGGACGGTGTGCTGTGATCAGTTCTCACATAACAGTAAACCTAAAATTGTCACTTAGCCACAGAAACATGTTTAGGTGGGAAAGCCATCTGGGACCCTCGGTCTCCTGAAGCAGGTAATGGGGAAATGGCTCTGCCTCTCCGGCCAGGTGGGAGGGCGGCCTGGCCCCCAGGCTGGCAGAGACAGGAATGGGACCGACTCCCTGAGTGGACGCCCCACTGTGCCCCATCTCCCAGAGGATTTCTGCAGGAACCACTGCAGTCACTCCGCACACAGGCAGCCCAGAGCTGACCAGGCTGGTGCAGAAGAGAAGACACGTTAACGAGGGACCAGTGAGGGGACGCAGAGTCTTGCATTGTAACCCCAACTCTGTGAGCACAGGAGGCCCCCCGCCTGCAGCCATGGGGGAGGGCCTGCCTGTCACCTCCCCGAGACTCCCTAAAAGTGAATAGTCACCCCTGAGCAGAGTTTCTAGACTTCTGTTTCCAAAACCATCCCATACCCTTCTCATCGGCTGTCGGGAGGTTAACCGAGGGACAGGTGCACAGAAAAAAGGGCACCTGCCACCTCCGGCCACTGGCAGCCCCAAGGCCAGTGGACACCACCAAAGCTGTGCTCGCTGGGCATGGCAGTGAGATCAGGAACACGGGCTGAAAACTGCTCTCGGTCACATTGTAGCTTTACAAAGACTGCAGGCCTTCCCGGGAAGCGACCTGCGAGGCAGGCAGTGCATTTCTGTACCCATGTGACCCCTGCAAACTACGCTGTTGTTTTTAGCTTAGAAGTTTAACTTCGTGTTCTCCACTTCGCCTCTTAGAAAAGAGGAAAGAACCAAACCCGATGCCTGAAACCACCCC